AAAATCACGTATATATACGTGATTTTGAATTTCCGGGTAGGGGGCGCATGCGAGCTGTATTGGTGTCACTGGGGATGTCAGTGACACCAAGTCAGTTCCCCCCAGTGTCAGAATGTCCGCCGCAGTCCCGCTATAAGTTGCTGATTGCCACCATTACTAGTAAAACAATTGTCGGTCTTTTTTTTTATAGCGAAAAAAATAAAAACCGCACGGGCAATCAAATGCCATTAAAAGAAAGCACAATTTGTGGGAACAAAACGGCGTAAATTTAATCTGGGTGCAGCATTACATGACCGCGCAATTGTCAGTTAAAGTAACATAGCGCCGTAGTGCAAAAAATGGCCTGGTCAGGAAGGGCGGTAAATCCTCAGGAAGGCAAGTGGTTAAAGTGCCTCTGATTAACCCCAAATAAAGTTCAGCTGTTCTAGTAGGTCTTTCCTGACATTTTCTTAGTCGCATCCTACAGCAAAAGCCATGGTCCGCAAATAGCTTCCAACGCATCAGAGGGAACTCATTGTTAAAAGGTATCAGTCAGGAGAAGGGTACAAAATAATTTCCAAGGCATCAGACATACTATGAAACACAGTGAAGACAATCATCATCAAGTGGAGAAAATATGGCACAACAGTGACATTACCAAGAACTGGACGTCCCTCCAAAATTGATGAAAAGACGAGAAGAAAACTGGTCTGGGAGGCTGCCAAGAGGCCTACAGCAACATTAAAGGAGCTGCAGGAATATCTGGAAAGTACTGGCTGTGTGGTACATGTGACAACAATCTCCAGTATTCTTCATATGTCATGGCTATTGGGTAGAGTGGACGGAAGCCTTTTCTTACAAAGAAAAACATCCAAGCCCGGATATATTTTGCAAAAACACATCTGAAGTCTCCCAAAAGCATGTGGGAAAATGTGTTTTGGTCTGATGAAACCAAGGTTGAACTTTTTGGCCATAATTCCAAAAGATATGTTTGGCGTAAAAACAACACTGCACATCATCAAAAGAACACCATACCCACAGTGAAGCATGGTGGTGGCAGCATCATGCTTTGGGGCTGTTTTTCTTCAGCTGGAACTGGGGCCTTAGTCAAGGTAGAGGGAATTATGAACAGTTCCAAATACCAGTCAATATTGGCACAAAACCTTCAGGCTTCTGCTAGAAAGCTGAACATGAAGAGGAACTTCATCTTTCAGCATGACAACAACCCAAAGCATACATCCAAATCAACAAAGGAATGGCTTCGCCAGAAGATTAAAGTTTTGGAATGGCCCAGCCGAAGCCCAGAGCTGAATCCAATCAAAATCTGTGGGGTGATCTGAAGAGGGCTGTACACAGGAGATGTCCTCGCAATCTGACAGATTTGGAGTGTTTTTGCAAGGAAGAGTCAATGCCATGCTGATAGACTCATACCCAAAAAAGACTGAGTGCTGTAATAAAATCAAAAAGGTGCTTCAACAAAATATTAGTTTAACGGTGTGCACACTTATGCAACCACATTATTTTAGTTTTTTATTTTTACTTCCCTCCACCTAAAAGATTTCAGTTTGTTGTTCAACTGAGTTGTACAGTTTATAGATTACATTAACTGCCTCCTGCCCGCCATATAAGGAAATGACGGATGGGCGTTGGTTCTCTCGTTCTGGGAGGACATCATATGATGTCCTTCCAGCCTAACCAGGGGTGCGCACCATGGCAATCGGTGGTGCGCTGTGTCCCTGGGACACAGCAGATCACCGATCAGCGGAAAGAGCTGATGACGTTGGCTGTCATGTGATTAGCTGTGTCCAATCACAGCTGATCGCCTGTAAATAAAGAAATGCCAGTTATCGGCATTCCTCTCCTCACGAACTGTCATGCTGACAGCTTGTGAGGAGAGGAGAGACGGTAATCGGCATTACTCAGAAGGGACATGTACACTGATCATCAGGGCACTGATCAGTGTAGCCCCAGTAGTGCCACCTGTCAGTGTCCATCAATGCCACCTGCCAGTGCCCATCAGTGCCACATCAATGCCACATATCAGTGCCCATCTGAGCTGCCTTTCAGTACCGCCTATCAGTGCTGCCAATCAGTGCCAGTCAGTTCCGTTTATCAGTGCCCATCAGTGCCGCCTATCAGTGCCAGTCAGTGCTGCCTATCAGTGCCATATGAGTTCTGCCTTTCAGTGCCACCTACCAGTGCCTCCTCATCAGTGCCCATCAGTGTAGCCTCATTAGAGCACACCAGAGAAGGAGAAAAATTACTTATTTACAACATTTTATAACCGAAACTAAGAAAAAAACATTTGTTCCCAAAAATTTTCAGTTGTTTTTGGTTTGTTTAGCAAGAAATAAAAAACCCAGAGCTGATTAAATACCACCAAAAGAAAGCTCTATCTGTCTCAAAAAAATGATAAAAATTTAATATGGGTACAGTGTTGCATGACCGCGCACTTGTCATTCAAAGTGCAACAGCACTGAAAGCTGAAAATTGGCCTGGGAAGGAAGGGGGTGAAAGTGCCAGGTAGGCAAGTGGTTAAAGGTGGAAAAAGTTCTAACATGATTTATCCGTCTCATTTTTTTACATCACAGAAACCTGACATTTTTAACAGGGGTGTGTAGACTGTATGTGTGTGTATGTATGTATGTATGTATGTATGTATATATATATATATATATATATATATATATATATATATATAATGTGAGCTAATAGATGTTGACACTTTGACTCTACTTAAAAGCTACTTGACAGTTTATATATATTAGTGCAATAGGGGGGGATTTACTAAAACTACCGCACACAGAATCTGGTACAGCTGTGCATGATAACCAAAATTGTTCCAGGTTTTATTGTCAAAGCTTAACTGAACAAACTGAAGCTGGGAGCTGATTGGTTACTATGCACAGTTGCACCAGATTCTATGTGCACCTGTTTTAGTAAATCCTCCCTTAATGGCTTTTAGGTAGATGATGGTCAACCAGTGGTCTGAGTTTACTACCTTGCCATCAAGGGCAGCCTTCATGGCTCAATTTTTATGAACGTGGACTCAACAAATTAAGGCTGACCTTTTCACTTCCTTTAAGACGCTGATTTCTGATTTGAGAAAAAATTACTTCGGAGCCAGCTTTGTGATGAATTGTCTAAATTAATTTTCATCACTGATGCCACACTGCTGCTGATGCTGCCATATAGTTCAATGAAACCAAAGGTACCAGAACCCCAGCACTGGCAGTTCACATCTACAGTATAAATTATTGTTTGGATTTCTGTGAAAGGTCCAAATAGTAAGCATAGTAAATAAGACTGTAGTATGTGACTCCTCAGAGGGGCCCATTGCTGGATTAGATAGTGAACTGTACTATGATGGAAGCTGAAACTATCACAACAGAAAAGGAAAGTAATCATATCAAAAGAACAGGAGAATGTTATATAACTAGTCATAATTGTCACCCCCCTTTTATTTATTCCTGCTTGTGCTTGCTTTCAATATAGAGACAGATGGAGGCTCTGGGACAGAACCATCACCAACAAGTACCAGTGGATTTTATCGGGGACGGCGTAATGGACCATCAGCTTACAGAATTCTGCAATCTCAGAATGATGAGGAGGAAGATGACATCTTTTGATGGTTATTTTACTGCTGCCACTGTTAACCTAACAAGGCTTATGTACCCACCATGGATCTTATTTGTGCCTTATAGTCATACTTCTAAGAGTAAAAGACAGGCACACAGAGTTTTGGCTTCCAGCAAGCAGTCTTCATGAAAACTCTTCTCAGGCCTGAACCTTAGGATCTTACTGCATGAATACATTTAAGCAAACCACATAGGTGGTTTTTGTATGTTATTCTGTGCACAGCAGGACATGTATATAAAGTATGTTCATTCAACGTATATTACTTTCCCTATAATATTTATGGTGGCTGGAAATTCAGCAACATATCATCAGCACACAGCTGTATAAAAAGAAGGCTTGATTTTTTTTTTTTTTACTTTAAACATGTTGCATTTGTATTTACTGAAGACGATTTAATGCTGGACCTAGAGCCTGCAATGGTGCAACTGAAGTCTTTGTTGTAAATAGAAAGGAAAGATTGTATTATTGTTCACATCCAAACAATGTTGTCTTTTCTATGTATTGTTTAATATCTTTCAGCTACATTATTAATATCTGATGAAAAGATCAAAGTAAGGCATTTGCATACTGAACATAGACTGAAGATCCCATTTACTGCAGATCATGATCTAGTGCTCAATGGACTGGGCCAGTTGTGCCAGCTTTTGGTTACTAAATCAGTCACTGGAAGTGGCCTTCAAAGTAGTTTTATGGTGTGTATATATATATTCTTGTTGCAGCGCATTGATCATGCTTTGAACTGCACATGGTTCTTCTCCATGGTGACTGCCCCTTACTATGTATGAGTGTAGTCCGCAAGGCATGAGACAGCTTTCAGATTACATGGTGCATTTGCATTAATTATTTTATGCATACTAGGAAGCAGTCACCATAGATATTATAGGTGATCATGATGTGATGATTGCAAATCTAGAAATGTGCTGTTGCATGTGTGCATACATAACCCAAGGTACTACATTGTTATAATTAATACTACACAAAATACATGAGAAGAAAGCTTTGAATTGGTTTGTAATGGTTTATAATATAGGAAAGTGCATTTTTTTCATTATTTTTTGTACACATATTGTATCATTATTTGATATCCATGATGGGCAAAACACTTTGTACAAATAAAACATTTTTATTGAGCTCCAGTGAGAGAAAAACTCACATAACAAGATAGCTGTGATTCTATGCAAGAAAGAAGTATTAACGCCTTTGTGTGTCCTTTGAATACCCTAGGTTGAATCTTTTTTTCAAAAAATGATCGCTGACTATAGTTCTGTGAAGATGATTATATATAGTGTTTCTGACTGCGGTGGTAATCATCTTTCTATAAACCAGTCACAGCATTTTAAAAAAGTCTTTTAGAGACTTGTCAAAAATATCTAGTTCATATATCATAGGTTTAATTGCTGTGTGTCAGATGAGGTTTGCAGTCCACTGCCAGTCTGTCTTTCAGTGTTCACTGCAATGTCTTCACCAACCTGTCCTTCTACAAGAAGGGACACTGCACCTTCTACCTTCCCTGTTGCTGCTAATGCAACAACTGCAGGTCCTGTGGGAAATCCCATGCGTTCTAGTTGCTGAAGCCTAGAAAATCAGCACAAAATAGTTAGATATTATAATAAAAATAATGAAAACTGCTGCCACTAAACATATACTTGATCTGTAAAAACTCACTGGAATGGGAAATTACCTTGTCTTCCATTTGATCTATTTTCAATCTTATGCATAAGGACAGCTTGCAAGCAATCTTTAAGAGCCCAATACAAGTACAAAATGACAGCATTGAAATGTCCAAAAATGGCAAGACTAAAAGAAAATTCAGTGGGATTGATTTACGAACTGCAACTAGGCTCTAATTAAATTAATTTTCATTTGTCAAGAGAATGTTTTCTTTAGCTTTGTGAATGTGGTGAAAATTTACTCTGCCAAAAATATACAATCGCATGTAAGGAGAAAAAAGAAAAAGAAAAGTATTTTTGCTTGAATATGATTGATTGATGGAAGTCAGAAGAGCTTCATCTTATTCACTAAGCTAAGGGGAAATTCCCTTGCAAAGTGAAAATTCCCTAACAAAGTAAAGTATATTTGCCTTCAGTAAATCAACTGCAATGACCATGGAGTACCCTAAAGTGGTTCTAAAGATAGAATTTTTTTACCTAATGCATGCCCTCCATTAAAGTAAAAAAAACATTTTGCCACTTGCTGTGCCCCCCCTCCAAATATTTTCCTGAGTCCTGAATCGATCAAGTGCTGTGCCAAGCTTCAGTTCTTCTCCCCGCTGTCACAAGCTCGGCTGAGAGCAGTGGTAACCACTGGCTCCTGCGCTGTCAGTCACATCCAGAGAGCATGGGGTGGGGCTGAGCCACGCTGCTGCATCAATGGATGCACACAGCCTGGCCCGGGATCGAGCCCACATGTCTTCCCCTAGAGCAAATGCTTGCTATGGGGGCAGACACAGAACAGGAGCCAGGATAACCAGCGGGGACCCCAGAAGAGGATGTTCATGACTGCTCTGTGCAACACCACTGCACAGAGCAGGTCAGTATAACATGTTTGTTATTTTAACAAAAAAAAAAATTGCCTTTAAAAACTTTTTAAAGACAGTCAGACACAGGAGATCGTTCATGAACATCTTAGCCCAGCACTAGACTGTATGTATGACCCAACTGCCCTCAGGCATCTCCATTTACCATCAAATCCTTAAACATGTGACTGCTCATGTTAATCTATGGAGTAGACTAGGTGAGGCTTGCTGCAGCCACCACTGGCACCATGTGAACGGAGGGAAACCAAAGACTGGACAAGGTTCTATTTCAGGCCAGAATAGAAGACTGTCATCTAATGTCTATAGGCACTTTTAGAAAACCAAAACCAATCTTTGTTTTTCCCTGATAAGTCTGTGGTGGAGACATCAGCAGTGCGCTTCCACTGCCCTACTCCACAGGCTACACAAACTGTTGCAAGATTCAACAGTTCATGTTTAGGGACTTGCTGGAAGATAGAGATGCTCGAAAAGAGTTGTGGTATGCTGTATGTCTGACTGACTTTTTTTCTTTATCAGCTGCATCTCTAACACATAATTGTCAGAACAGAGAATTCAGTGGATTTTCCAAAAGCCCACTTAGTGTTCCCTAAACTTGTGGGATACGGAGTCATATAGCAATGAAAAGCAACTCCTGGGACTCAACTGCATCAGAGTGTACGGAGTCATAAAGCAATGAAAAGCAACTCCTGGGACTCCACTGCATCATGGGATAAAACCGGTCATACTCTAATAGATTTTCAAACGAACGTTCGTATGAATCTTCAAGCAAAATTTCTCATCAGTACACTCAATGACATTACAAATGTCATTTGAAAGTAAAAGAAAAAAAAATTTAATTTATGCTCCTTCAAATTTTCCCATCACTGTTGTTGAAAACGAATGTTGATTTGACCCCACTAAAAAATAGAAAAGCTAAAGAACATTCTTAAAATGAAAAAATTCAAATGAAAGTCTACATGTGTATGTTCACCTTTAGCCTTTTACTTACACAATATAGTGCAAACAGCTACAAAAATACACAGCCCCAGGAGTTATTTCATTGCTGAATGATATACAGTCATGGCCATAAATATTGGCACCCCTACATTTCTGTCAGATAATGCACTACTTTGCCCAGAAAATTGTTGCATTTACAAAAGTTTAGGTATTCTCACGTTTTTTTCTTTTGTTTGTATTGGTATGACACAAAAAAGTGGAGAAACAAAAAGCCAAATCTGACACATTCCATGCAACACCCCAAAAATGGACTGGACAAAAGTACTGGCACCTTCTCAAAATTGTGAAAAATAACTGCATTCCAAGTTTGTGATGCTCCTGTAATTTGTAATAAAACTCACCTGTATCAATTAACAGGTGCTGAAAATATAGAAATCACACCGGCAACCAGTTAAAATGGTGAAAACATGGCTCAACCTTTCTGTTGTGTGTCTGTCTGCCACATGGAGCATGAAGAAGAGAAAGAGCAGCATAGAATTGTCTGAGGATTTGAGAACAAAAATTGTGGAAAAGCATTGGCAAGCTCAAGGTTACAAGTCCATCTCCAGAGATCTTAATGTTCCTGTGTCCACTGTGCGCAACACTGTCAAGAAGTTTACAGCCCATGGCACTGTAGCTAATTTCCCTGGACGTGGACAAAAGAGAAAAATTGATCAATGATTGCAACAAAGGATTGTTCAAATGGTGGCTAAAGAACCTTGGTCAACTTCCAGACATATTCAAGCTGACCTTCAGTCAAGGGTACAGCTGTGTCAGCTTGCACTATACGTCGCCATCTGAATGAAAAGGGACATTATGGTAGGAGACCCAGGAGGACCCCACTGCTGACACAGAAACATAAAAAAGGCAGACTGGAATTTGCCAAAACTTACCCGAGGAAGCCAAAATCCTTTTGGGAGAATGTGCTGTAGACAGATGAAACAACATTACAGCTTTTTGGTAAAGCCCATCATTCTAATGTTTTCAGAAAAAGCAACGAGGCCTTTAAAGAAAAGAATACAGTCCCTACAGTAACAAATGGTGGAGGTTCACTGATGTTTTGGGGTTGCTTTGCTGCTGCAAGCACTGGATGTTTTGACCGTGTACATGGAATTATGAAATCTGAAGACTATCAAAGAATTCTGGGGTGCAATGTAGGGCCCAGTGTCAGAAAGTAGGGTCTCCGTCAGAGGTCATGGGTCTTACTGCAGGACAATGACCCAAAGCACACGTCAAAAAGCACCCAGAAATGGTTTCAGACAAAGCGCTGGAGAATACTGAACTGGCCAGCAGAGTCCAGATCTCAATTCCATAGAGCACCTGTGCAGAGATCTCAAAACAGAAGTTGGAAAAAAGGAGCCCTTCCAATCTGAGAGACCTGGAGCAGTTGGCAAAAGAAGAGTGGTCCAAAATTCCAGTGATAGCGAGGTGTAAGAAACTCATTGATGATTACAGTAAGCGATTGATTTCAGTTATTTTTTCTAAGGGGTGTGCTACCAAATATTAAATCGAGGGTGCCAATAATTTTGTCCAGTTCATTTTTGAGGTTTTGCGTGGAAAGTGTCAGATTTGGCTTTTTTTTCTCCACTTTTTTGTGTTACACCAATACAAACAAAAGAAATAACATGAGAATGTCAAAACATTTGTAATTGCAACAATTTTCTTTTACAATGGATTTTATTATAGAATAGACAGCATCAGGGAAACAGTCATAAACAAGAGAACTGACCAATAGAAATAAAACTTACAAGTTTTCTGATGAATGGTACAATAAATGCACTGAAGTATAGACATGGAAATAAACTGAGTACACAGGTGCAGTATATGAATAGACAAACTAAAGCAAAATAATTTGCAAAAATGGCAGACAATTAGAGACCAAGGAATTAGTAAACAAGGATCAAAGATTATCATAAAATACGCATACAGAAGGGAGGAGAAATGGAACACGGAGCCTCACTGGATGCACATTGGTACTTCACACCCAGGACTCCCAGTGGAGTCCAACAGGTAGATATACTATTGCTGGTATGGTTCTTATGAATTACAATCAGCGCAAATACCATGAAAACAAGCGGAACAGAGAAGAGAAAGGGAGGAACGAAGAAAGAAAATACAAAAGATAAAGAATAAAGAAAGTGCATTATCTGACAGAAATGCAGGTGTGCCAATATTTTTGGCCATGACTGTAGTCTGATTGCATATCCCAAGATAACTGCTGAGTTGTTACTCAGTAAGTGTGCTAATGAAATAGGTTAAAGGACTGTAAAAAGAGAATCTTGTACTGAATTATAAGACAGAACTATAGAATAAATAATTCAGTAAGTACAAGTTTGCAATAAAAAAGGGGAGGCTGGTATGAGATAGCTGCTATTGTGGGACCATATAAATTACACTCATCATTTTCTTAAAGTGGTATTAAACACAAAAGCAAACATTTATTATATTGCAGCTTACGAATTCTTAGATGTGATGGCTGTATTAATTTTCTTTTTTTAGGCTTTCTTTCCTTTATTTTCACCTGACGATATGGCAAGTAAGTCTGTTATTTTTGAACAGAACAAGCTGTCCTGCAGTTTAGACTGATAAGACAAATCATTGACCGCAGACATGGGTACTTACAATGGTCAGATTTTATTTATTTTTGTAAAATCTTTATCCCAAAAGAATAAAAACTGTTGCTGCAACTGCTTGTGTAACTGCAATGTGAGCTGTAGCTTGGCTTCAATTTGTTAGTGTATCTAACTCTGCTAGTACATCTAACACTCCCATCCCCCAGACTGACAATACTGATGTCCAGTGGTACCCCTGTGCTCATTCATCCAGAGTTGAGGCTCTCTAATACAGGAGGTGTTTTACTGGCCAGAGGGGAAAAAAAGACTAAAAAAGGAAAACTGATGCAGCCACCATATCTAGTGATTGGTAAGCTGCAACATTTTTGGTTTTCAGGTAAATATCACTTTAACTATGAGTCATGTTATAGTTTATTAAAAGGGAGGCATAATACAAGCAATTTACCTAAGTGCTGACACACTGGATTTGTTCAAGGTTAGTTCATGTCTCTGTGTTTCCTGTTGCTCATATTCCCTTAAAGATGCCAGAATGCCAGCTTCCAACATCGCCTCTTCCAGTGTCTCATCACGTCCAAACCAAACAGAAGTGTCTTGAATATGGCCATGGGATGCAGTCTGTGCAGCCATCCCATCCAATGACATATCAGTAAACAGGTTTGGCCCCTGTACATTTGTATAAGAGAATGGAAGTCTAATAAAGAAAAAAGATGTTCCTTTAAAGTGACATAGAAATTTTCAAGATACATGCCTTACAGCAGGCCCGGACTGGCCATAGGGCATACCGAGCATTTGCCTGGTAGGCTGGGGCCGCGCATTCTAGAGGGAGCGGCCTGTGGATGACCGGGCCGCACAGCGGGAGGTAAGTGGTGACCTCGGTCTGGACAGGGTTAACACAGACCGCAGCCGCCGCTCGCCTCCCGCTATGTGGCCATGCCTACAGGGTACACACCTCCCAGGCTGCCTGCTGGAAATACACTGCACTAACCACGGCGGGATCTCACCTAACCATGAGGGCTGCACAGGGGAGGAAGGTGAGTGCAGTGCCGCCACACATCCTGCTCTGTAGCAGCAGTGTGTGTGTGTGGGGGATTAGGCTGTCTCTTTGCTGGACTGGGCAGTCTCCTTGCTATATGGAGCTGTCTCTATGATGAATGGGGCTCTCTCTTTCCTATCTGCATCTGTCTCTTTCCTGGACTGGGATGTCTCTTTGCTGGATTAGGCTGTCACTTTGCTGGATTGGGCCGTCTCTTTGCTATATGGAGCTGTCTCTTTGCTGGATTGGGGCGATCTCATTGCTATATGGGCTGTCTCTGCCCTGGACTGGGCTGTCTCTTTGCTATATGGAGCTGTCTCTTTGCTGGATTAGGCCATCTCCTTGCTATATAGAGCGGTCTCTTTGATGGATGGGGCTGTCTCTATGCTGGATTGGGCTCTGTTTGCTTGACTGGGATGTCTCTTTGCTTGATTGACATGTCTCTTTGCTATATGGAGCTGTCTCTTTGCTATCTGGGAATGTCTCTTTGCTAGATTGGGTTGTCTCTATGCTTTGTGGGTATGTCTCTCTGCTGGATTGGGATCTCTTTGCTGGATTGGGATGTCTCCTTCCTGAATGGGAATGTCTCTTTTCTAGATGCGGATTTCTCTTTGCTGGATGATGTCTCTTTGCTGAAGATATGGAGATGTCTCTTTGCTAAAGGTAGAACTGTGCAGGGGAGGCAGAGAGTAAAAGGGGGCACTATGATTAGAGAGAAAAGGGGGGCATAACTGCAAGGGGCACGGTGATGGGGGGAGGGCTGTGAATCTGTGATTGCTAAGGGCACTGCACTGTAATGTAATGGGGACTGCACTATAAAAGGGCACTGTAATCAAAACAGTGCCCCTTTACAGTGCAGTCCTCTTTTATATCACAGTGCCCCTTTACAACACATTGCAGAGGACCCAGACACCGTGAACATCCCGTCACCAACTGCACCCATGAACGACCACCCACCATCCCATTCCACCCCCCTGGTCCCTTGGCTGCTCAGTTTAAAATACCCGGGCCTATTTTATGTCCCAGTCCGGGCCTGCCTTACAGTTAAACTCAGCAAAATCATTAAAATCATTTACTGTATATGCTGTTCTCACATACCTGTCATGTGCTCCATAATTTGCAATGTACAGCCCAGATCCTTCCTGCCGAGAGGGTATAAACCGAGCTACAGGAAGAGTTCCAAAGCAAATGAATATTCTATCTAGTGACCGTATTCTGGTTTCCGACAGCTCCAGGTAGCGGAGTAATCCATTGCGGACTGTGGTTTTATTGTAAGGATCTAACTTTTCAGTCATCTTTAAACAGCAATTTCTCTCTATATATGTGTTTTAAGCAGGAAGGAGCTGAACTGGAGGGAATTGCCCTTCTGGGGTGCTGTGTTAAATGAATGGACTGCCAACACACCAGAATGAACAAAAAAAAAAAAATCAGCATGTAGCTCTGTTTTCTGATGCAGCATACCACAACACATGGTAGTGTGTCGTCAAGCTCTGTAACATGTGAATCAGAGGTACATTAGATTAGTGCCATTGGGCTGAATCTCAACAGTAAAGTGTTAATGGGTTGTCACCTGTCACATCATCATGCAAAAAATATAATCTTTAGGACCAATTCACACCTTTCCAGTGGGATGCTGGAATGAGCATATTAAAGCAAGCGTTACCACAACACAGGTTAACATATGTTAAATGTGTTGCAGTGCTTTATCTTGTTCACAATAACACCCCAACACATGTACGTTGTGGTGTTTTGCAATGCATGGTAACTACATGTGTTGTGGTGCACTGCAATGGAAGAAATGGTGCGTGTCTGAATTTTTTGTCCATTTTCGTGCACTGCCAGCCCATTTAAATGAATGGGCTGTTTTAACTCAATGCACTTTACATTATGGCAAAACTTAATGCAACGCGTCCAAATTGAGAAGTATGAATTGGACCAATACATTTTTAATGGCATAGGAAAGGACTGGAACCACGTGTCAAGCTTTACTGAAATTTGGAGCAGTTATAGAGATTTTTACTAACATTCTGGTATGGTGACACCAAACAGGTAGTAAGGTAAAAATCTGCAGCAGGAAGACAGCAAGCAATAAAAACAAGACATGGGTTCTAGCATTCCCCTACACTATCTGTGCCTAATATGATCTTGGCACACTGAAAGTTGTATGGATGACATTAGGCGTTATTCAACATGGAAGGCAATCAGTGCAGAATGGTGAATCTTCAGAGGGCAGGGTTGGAGAATATTTAAATATTGCAGAGAACCTTTTTTTTTAGTTTTCATGCATGCTGCTCCACAGTTTTTTCATACATTGTGAGATCATTAATAATGTTGTCAGTTCAGATTTTGCCCGATAAATCCAGCTATGACTCTTTACATATGGTAATATCAAGGACAGCATACTCAGCAACTCTTTACATGAACATGTTTCCTGGCTAAAAATTGGCATGAAGATGGATGAGAAAGAAATAAGCACATCTAAAAAGATACTGTAAATAAAAACGGAGTGCCATTTCTTTTCTGCAATTCTCTTAAAGATCTCTCATTAGCGATAAAAACTTACTGCAGGTATATTGATTCATGTCTAATTCTCATCCTTGTAAAAAGAAATGCTAAATGATTCCCCAGTAATTCATAACTTTCTGGTTTCTACTACTGCAAGACAGCTCCTCCCCTGCATGAAGCCTGATTTGTGGGGGTGCCCTCTTGTTGTTACCTCCCCCTCTACTTAGAGCGGGCCTGTCAGAAACTCCTGTGTGTTTACAGTGACACTAGAACCTGTGTGTGTTTACAGTGACACTAGAACCTGTGTGTGTTTACAGTGACACTAGAACCTGTGTGTGTTTACAGTGACACTAGAAGAGCTGAGTGTTCTACTCCTATCTGCTACTCTGTCCACTTCAGCTTCCATCTACTCTTTTTGCTCCATCTCTCATATTTTGTCCATTTCAGCTTCTATTTGCTCTACTCCATCTTCCGCACTCTATCATATCCAGCTTCATTGACTTTGCTCCATGACCTCTAGTCTGTCTGCCCCAGCTTCCATCCACCCTGTCTGTTCCATCTCTCCAACTCTGCTCCAGCTCCCATCCACTCTGTCTGCTTCATCTTCCCTAAACTCTCTGCTCCCTCTCCCCAAATCTGTCCCCTTCAATTTCCATTCACCTGTCTGCTCCGTCTTTCCCGCTCTGTTGACTTCATCTCAACCACTCTGTCCACTTCTGCTTCTATCCACTCTCTCTGCTCCATCTCCCACCAACTCTGTCCATTCCAGCACCATCAAATACAATGGCATCACTCCAGCTGACTAAGAAGCAAATATAGCTGTGTGTGCCTGACACCAGCAGTGTCAATCAATGATCATTAAGTATTTGTCTCCTGCAGAATAAAGTTGTTGGATAGTGGTGGGGAAGGGAGGGTGGCATGCTGTCAGCTCTGGATCCACTGCACCAGGTCCACCAACTTCAGACATTTTTTTTTTTTAGTTTTAGGTAGAACAAGCAAGAGTTAAAAGCCCTGTCAGTTTTGTATTGCTGTCAGTGTCCCAATTTGTGAGATTTCCGCGCCAGGTGACAGGTGTCAAACAAATCAGGAAGTGAAAGGAAAATCTCAATAGGAGCACATACAGCATTTGAAACCTGACACAGGTTACAATTTTTCCTAATGGATCATTCACACCATGGTGCAGAGATGTCAGTTTTTCAGCACGTGTTCTGCAAGGGCACAACCAAATTGTTCTCTATGTGTCCTGTTCACACCACAACACTGGTATCATGTGCAGATTTTTTCTGTACAGGAATCTCCAACGTGTATAAAAGTCACTGGAGTGCACATGAAAACTGATGTAAACTGATATCACTGCAAGTAAAATGTGCGTATCAGTTTCCATCAGTTTTCCTGAACGCATAGACTTAATGGCATATTCACACTTGTTTGTTTTGATGCAACAAAACTCTTGCACTTTGCTGCATGAAAATACATATCAAATAAAACTAACATTCTTTTCTACAGTATAGAACTCATTTAGACTGCAGTTTAGTGTAAAGACAAAGGAAAACTCTATGGGTTCATGCACACCTACATGTGTGCATTACCATGCATGCTGCATGCACAGAGAACAGTGGAAATCCAGCCTAATGATATGTTATTACTGGTGCTGATCATGCATGAGGCGACTATTATCACAATGGTGTACAGAGTATCTGGTGAAAGGATACTGGCCAGTCCACTAATCACTCCACAGATATGATACAAAAGCGAAGACTGTGGCCACAAGTATTGTAAAGCTATTGTTATCCCACAGCACAATAAAGGTAGCATCTTCTTTCGCCGTCGCCATGGAACAGCTGGACTATGAGCTATCAACATGGACAAATTGGTAGCGAGGTATCCAGAGGCTGGGGCAACAGGAAGAGGCAGAAGCAAGGAAATTAAAATGTAAATTGTGGCACTGCACAAAGTACACATACAAGAGAGATGGAGAAAACACAGGGTGCCGATGTGGTGTTCTAATTGCCAGTGCAGGATTGGGAACAAGAGAAGAGATATTATCAGAAGCTGATTGTTAATGGAACACAGCCCATGTGTTAGCAAACGATGGCCTGAAAAAAATACAAATCAGATGTCAGTAATCTATAAAAGCACTACTGAAGCCTGTATGAAAAACATAATAGTAAAACTATTCATACAACACAAATTAATTAATTCTCATTGTTCTGGCTGCTTAAAGCTAACATTTTGAAGGCTTCTAGCAGTTACTGCATTATGTTTCCTACTGTTTTATTACATAAAAGCTTTCCATGAAAGTCTTTATATGACACACACATAAGACATGAAGCAAAACTGACTCTAAAGCTTTGAATGTATTTCTCTCTATATATGCCTCTGTGTTACTACATTAGCTTTTAAGACTAGCAGGACAAAAGCTCCAAAGCATAGCAAATGACAGTAACCTGAATATGGCTGAACTGTGAATCTTTTGTTATATTTACATGGATGCTGTCTATGGCTTTGCAACCCTTTGCATTTTGTTTCAAAAGAGGGTTGTCAGATACTGAAAAAGTGTTTTAGTCATCATGCCCATTCTAGTTTGCAATTTGTTAGGTCAACATGTTTAACCTAGTTTTGTGTCCAAACACAGTGTGCTTTCTTTTACTTAAAAAAAAAAAAAAAATGTATTTCTTTTTATTAATATTTATTGATTTTCAACAAAATACATTTTACCATCATTTTCTCCAATTAAAAAAAGGAAACAAAACAATATACCATGATTATCCCCCTAAATATCTTTATTCCCCCCCACTTACCATTCACATTCATCTCCCACCCTCCTGCCCCCCCCCCCCATCCCAACCACTCTGCGTTTTCCTACCTCCTCACTATGGAAAGCAATCAAAGTATGTTTAATAGGATATTACATCTTCATATATTTCACCTTTCTTTTATGATCTTCCCATTTTTTCCATTTTGCATAAAATGTCCCCATCTTGTCTACGTGCATATAATAAAGTTTCTCCATCTCACAAATCTGATTTTCTCTAACTACCCAATCCTCTTCCATTGGCACTTCCTTTTTTCGCCAGAACCTGGGTATCAGACTCTTCGCTGCACTCAAAAAATACCATATACCCGATTCCTTATATAATTTTACTGACAACTCTGTATCGTGGAAAAGACAAACCTCTGGGTCTAACCTAATATTGATTTCGGTAATCCTTCCTACTAAGTGAACTATTTTCTTCCAAAATGTTTGTATTTTTGAGCGCTCCCACCATATATGATACAACGTGCCTATCTCCCCACAACCCCTCCAACACAATGGTGAAATCTCCCCATTCTTTTTATGTTCAATTTGTGGTGTAATGTGCCATCTTATCAAACACTTATAATTTATTTCCACCTCTCGCATGCTATTATTTTCGTGAATTAATCTATAAATTTTCTTCTGCTTCCCCTCGTCTATTTCCATCCCCAATTCTCTTTCCCATTTCCCTATATACATTGGTTTTGTGCTGGTGTCTAAATCAGTGATTATCTTATATATTTTAGCAATTCCGTGTTTTCCATCTCCCCGTGATTCCAAGAATTTTTCAAATGGATTCCAATCTTTTCTAGTTCTCAAAGGCTTCGGGAGTCTCCCAACAAAGTGCTTCAATTGGTGATAACACCACTCATCCATCCTATTGAAAACGTCTCCTTTCTTCTTTTCCAACTCTTTATATGATCCCAATTCCTTCCCCACCATTATATCTCTCAATTGCGCATCCTCCTTTATAATCCATTTTCCTGTGATACCCTCCCTACCTGGGGCGAAAAAACTCTGTATTCCTTAGTGGTATTATTAGTGAATTAAAAACCCACCCCTTCTGTCTGTGCAATATTTCCCAAACTCTTAAAGCATTTAACGTGTACATGCTTGTGTTAACATCTAATCCCCTGTATTGTGCGGGCACCCATATGATCCCACCCAGATTTGTTCCACTCAGTGTATTTTCAATTTTGGCCCAACTTTTCCCAGGATTGTGCGTCCAATCAAAAATTCTTGCCAATATTACAGATTTATAATATCTCTTAAAGTCTGGTACTCCCAACCCACCCCTCTCTTTATTTCTACTCAACGTTTCATAACATATTCTAGGTTTTTTGTTCCTCCATATATATCTTGTTATTATTTTTTTAAGTTCTTTAAAATATACCTCTGGAAGTTTGATTGGAACCATTTGGAATTTATATAAGACTTTGGGCACAATTACCATTTTTATCAGATTTATGCATCCTATCCAAGACTGGTTACCTCCCCCTAATCTCTTTAATTCCTCTTTAATCTCATTTAGTAGTGAAATATAATTTAGTTTATACAAATTCCTATATGAAGCAGAAAGTTTTACCCCTAGATACTTTAATTCTTTTTCCCTCCATACGAAGGGAAATTCTCCTTGTATTTTTTTCTTTTTCACTGTTTGTAAGATTTATATTTAAGATCTCAGTTTTTGTCGGGTTAATTTTTAAATTTGATACCTCCCCATATTCCTTCATTAACCTCATTAAATTTGGGAGAGTTATCCTAGGATTTCCCACATAGAACATCAGGTCATCCGCGCAGGCCGCCACCTTATGTTCTCTATCTCCTATCCATATTTACTTTATATCTATATTCTTCCTTATTGTAGATAGCAATGGCTCCAAAGATAAAACATATAACAATGGGGACAGTGGGCATCCCTGTCTTGTTCCATTTGACATCTCGAAAAACTCCGACCTTTCTCCATTAAACCATAATAGCTGCTGAGGGCCATCTATATAACTTTCCAATCCACTCTCTCATTCTAATTCCCAGCCCTAGCGCTTCCAAGGTGTCCATCATAAATCTCCAATTCACTCTATCGAATGCCTTTTCTGCGTCAATTGACAACAACACCACCGGGGTTTTCCCTTTTCTACTTTCTTGAATGAGCAACAAATGATCTCAACCCGTTGTCTCTGCGCTCTCTTCCTGGGACGAACCTCACCTGATCCTCGTGTATCCAATCAGGCATTAAATCTTTCAACCTATTTGCCAATACCTTTGTGTACAATTTAGTATCTACATTCAAAAATTAGATTGGTCTATAACTTGAGCACTGGGAGGCATCCTTATCTTCCTTATGAATTAAAATTACATAAGCCTGTAGAGATTCTTGCCTCATTTCCATCTCCCCCCCAGGGCATTCATGTATACCTTCAATTTGGGTATTAACAGTTCTTTATATTTTTTATAGTATCTCACAGTATACCCATCTGGCCCCGAGCTTTTCCTAGCCATAGTACTTTTTAATGCTGTTTTTATTTCTTCTAGTGTAATTTCTGATTCTAGGGAGTTCGATTGTACGTCACTCAGTTTTGGTAGGCCTGCGTTTTTTAGGTATGTTCTTCTTTTTTCATCATTTACTCTTTCAACTTTATTTATAGTATCTTGGGAGATGATATTATACAGCTTACTATAATATTCATTAAATACTTTAGCAATGTCTTTAGTTGAGTGAACCACTTCATCCTTGGGGTTTCTTATTTTTTCTATATAATTCCTATTTTTCTTTTTCCTTAAGGCTCTCATTAAGTACTTTCCCGGCCTATCTCCCCATCTATACCTTTCACTTATTACTTTATTAAAAACTCTTCTTATTTCCTCTTCCATCAAGGTCTCTAGCTCTTCATTCTTTTTTATTATCTTCTTCATTATCTCCTTAGATATTTTACTTTTATGCACCTGTTCAAGATCGAATATTTCCTTTAAAAGTCTGCTAATTTTTTCCCCCCTTTCTTTTTTCTTTTTTGCCTCCATTGCAATAAGTAATCCTCTTATGTAAGCCTTATGAGCCTCGCACACTGTAGCCACCGACACTTCTCCCGTATCATTCTCTGATTTCCATCTCAATCTTCTGATCAATCTCATGATCCAGAAGAAGTGCCTCATTCATCTTCCAAACTAAGCCTCTCTTCACCTCTCCTCCCCATCTTGATTTCATTACAACAGGGGCATGATCTGATATAGACCGTACTTCAATTTTTGCTTCTGCTACAGACTCTATAAATCGGTGTTCTATCAGTATATAATCCAATCTAGAGTATGTCTCATGTGCATGTGAAGAAGGTATAGTCTCTGTCTTTCATGTACTTAATTCTCCATATATCTACCAGTTGGCATTCATGTATCAACTTCTTTAATGATCTCAGAGACCTACTCTCCTCCCTCTGCACAGAAGAGGTTGTATCCATCCGCAGATCCATAGAAACATTAAAATCTCCAGCCACTATCAGACGGCCTTTTTTAAAACCCATCGGTTTTTTCAATACTCCCTTCAAATATACAGTCAGGTCCATAAATATTGGGACATTGACACAATTCTAACATTTTTGGCTCTATACACCACCACAAATGGATCTGAAATGAAACGAATAAGATGTGCTTTAACTGCAGACTGTCAGCTTTTATTTGAGGGTATTTACATCCAAATCAGGTGAACGGTGTAGTAACTACAATAGTTTGCATATGTGCCTCCCACTTGTTAAGGGACCAAAAGTAATGGGACAGAATAATAATCATAAATCAAACTTTCACTTTTTAATACTTGGTTGCAAATCCTTTGCAGTCAATTACAGCCTGAAGTCTGGAACTCATAGACATCACCAGACGCTGGGTTTCATCCCTGGTGATGCTCTGCCAGGCCTCTACTGCAACTGTCTTCAGTTCCTGCTTGTTCTTGGGGCATTTTTCCTTCAGTTTTGTCTTCAGCAAGTGAAATGCA